GGGGGGAGCGCACCTCAGTACCAGGTGCTTCCTCCACCCCTATCCGTTCCCCCACCACTAGCCATCTTCCCCCACTCCTTAGCTGAATTTAGCCGCTCAAAAGTCCTCTTTAAATGGTTTTAATAATAGCAAACTCTATTTTTATCTGAAGTAAATTTTGTCTAGTTTACAGTGAAGCAATCGTTAATTACTTAAATTAAATATTTTTCTTTTGAACGTGGCATACATGAAAAATCACAAAACTTTAATTCCCTATTTTTCTGCTGAAAATCGAACCATTGTTCATACAAACTTTTTTGTATTTATTGTGTTCAGCTATCACTGCTTTAAATATTTCCCTCTAATTACGAGCACACTATATATGGGTTTAGACATGTAAAAATGTAGGACCTGCAGCTTGGAAATGGGTTCTCTAAGAACAAAAACTCAGAATAATTTCTGATTCCGATCAAATCGGAGACCAAATAATTAGTATCTTGCCTCATGAAAACGTTCCCAGCTATTTTAAGAAAAGAACAACACTTTCTAATGAGAAATGTACAAATTATTACCGAGACCAGTTTTATGAATCGCATGGATTCTTCAAGGAGACAATAGTTGGTTAAGGTTGCTATGCAACCAGATCTATTGGAACTGAATAAAAACTGGGGGACAACCCGTATTTTCTTGTGCTCGAATAAAAGGTTGTTCGAAAGAATAAATGAAGTTTATACTTTTTAAAATAAATTTTCCTCCATCATGTATTTCAGCTGCGAGATGTATTTCAGTTCGGAGTCAAGAGGAACAAACTGCGATAGGAGCACAAGCCTTCACATCTCACGGCGGCCCAAAAACTACACCACTCTTTTCTTTGAATAGAAATAGAATAGAATAGAAAAATAATTTTATTCTGGGACGAAGTCCCTTCAGAATAACAAAAAAGTACAGAAATTAAAATTTTACATCTGGCCAGATAAAAACAAACATAACAAATTAAGATAATGATAGGTCATTAAAGAAAAGAAAATAAAAAAAAATTGGTTATACATACTATATACAAAATAAAATAAAAAAAATCTATATAAAAAACTCTTGAAACCATATTAAGATACTTAAAACTATGTACAATGTTAAAATATAAATAAACCCTTTTAGAAAAAATAAAAAATACAGAAAAAATAAATGTATATTCTTCTTAACAGTAAAATCTGTTTCTGATGAAAAAGAAAAAAAAGAGAAAAAGAAAGTCGAATCTATAATAAGTATTCAGGTCATGAGCTATATGTGAATATGGTCTTATAGATAATGTGTAATTTTACAAAAAAGATTAGCTGGTGCCTGACTGTTTTTGGGACAGGAATTGGAATAGGGGGGTTTTGAATGTAGATAAGGATGAAGAATGTCGAATTTTGATAGGAAGGGAATTCCAGAAACTAACAGAACGTGCAATAAAGGAGTTTCGGAACGAGGCAGATCTGTGAGAAGGAATGTAAAGGTCGGAAGGTCGAGATCTTGTGGAGAGGGAGTGGACTGAGGACTTGAATTGGAGAAGGTTGTAGGCGTAGGAAGGACGATGATTGTTGATGATATGATAGAGGAATGTACCTAGGAAATATTGTCTTCGAATGGAGGGGAAGAGCCACTCTAACTCAGTGTAATGGTGAGAGACATGGTAGTATCTCGGGGCACCAATTACAAATCTCACGCAACTGTTCATTATTCTTTTCAGTCTGTCGCGGAGCTCCACCGAGAGTCCATCATACACCACACAGCAGTAGTCAAAGTGGGGGAAGATGAGAGAGGAAACGAGGAGTCTGCGCGTATGTTGAGGTAGGAGATGGCGGAAGCAATGGAATAGTTTGAGGGTAGAGACTGTCCGTCGGAAGATGTGAGAAATATGGTGACTCCAGGAGAGGGTTTGATCAATAAATAGTCCTAAATTTTTTACAGAGGAGTAGAAGGAGATTGGCTGGTCACCAAGATTTAGTATGGGAAAGTCCGTATAGGATCTAAGGAGGGACTTGGAACCAAAGACAATGGCCTGAGTTTTTGAAGCATTTAACCTTAATCCGTTTAATTTTGCCCAGGCACAGATTCGATCTAGGTCTGCTTGGATCTTAGTAAATGCTACCAATAGCTCAGGGGGAGAAAAGGATAGGTATATTTGAGAATCGTCTGCATAAAGGTGGTGGGAACAATGGAGAATTGAGTCATGGAGGTCATTGATATAGGAACTAAAAAGGAGAGGAGATATGCTAGATCCTTGGGCAACTCCAGAGGATAAAGGCAGGTAGGCAGATAGTGGTTGATTAGGAATGGAGACTGCTTGGGTGCGTTGTGATAGGAAAGATTGGAACCAAGAGATGGAGCTATTGGAGAAGGAGAGTGATTTTAGTTTGTTGAAAAGGATGGGATGGTTAATGGAATCAAAGGCTTTAGAGAAGTCAAGAAGTATAAGGACAGTTAGTTGTTTATTATCTATTGCAGTCTGAACATCATTAGTAATTTTGATTAAGGCGGATTGTGTGGAGTAGCCGGGACGGAAACCAGATTGGAGAGGATCGAGTTGGTTAGACTTTTCTAGGAAATTGGAAACTTGGGATTGCACCAATCTTTCTAGGGGTTTTGAGAGATTGGAAAGAATTGAGATTGGGCGAAAGTCTTCGGGAGAGGATGGATTAGGCTTTTTATTTAAAGGGAGTACAATGGCTTTTTTCCAAGAGGAAGGGAATATTGAGTTCTGTAGGGAGAAATTTTAAATGAAATGGAGAACTGGGAGGATTTCGGGTAGACATAATTTTATCAATTTGACAGGAATGCCATCTGGTCCTATGGAATTGGTGTGGGATTTCATTACTGCGGTTAGTAAGTCAGTCGGGGAAATGTAGGAGAAATAAAAGTCATCATCATTAAATGATGACTCAGGAGCAAAGTTGGAAGAGGAGGGAAGAGAAGAGGTAGAGGAGGCAGAAATAAAATGTGAATTTAAATCGTCAGGTGAAACGGAAAAGAATAGTGAGGAAGGGGATCTGGAAGGTTCACAGAGGGAAAGTTTGCGAAGGATTAGCCATTTAGATTTGGGATCTGGGGCAGATGACAGGGCTTCATGGAAGTAGGAAGCTTTAGCTGGCGGAATTCTTGTTTGTGTCAAATTGCGGAGCACCCTAAACGCTTGATAGTCATCTGTAAGCCTAGTACGTCTAAAGCGTCTTAATAGCTAGTTTTTATAACTTTTTCGGAATTTTTGTCCACCATCCAGGGGGAGGGTCGCTCCCTTGCAGAATTCGCTAGTGCTCGTCACGATAATATAAATTTTTTATATATTAAATTAGAAAATTCGTCTGTGAGGATGATTTTTTCCTATATTTCTCTTTTCATTAAACAGATGCTTAAAATATTAGTTTTCGAAAGGAAGGTCCTTCGGAGGATATTTGGCCCAGTTAAGGAGAATAGTGAATGGAGAATTAGATGCAACTAAGAACTAGCAAACTTATATAAGGAGCCGAATGTGGTGAAATATATCGGGATAGCAAGGCTGATATCGAAGTGCCAAGTTATGGATGGACGAGACCTCAATCCCAAAGAAGCTGCTGAGCATGGAGCCGGTTGGAAAAAGAAAAGTGGACAGACCGAAACTGAGATGGAAAATGGATTAAGTGCTGATGCCACAATTCATGGAATCAGGATCTTTTGGAGACTGCTCAGAACAGCGAAACATGGAGGAAAAATCTTGAGGCAGCCAAGATCCAATAACGGATTTTCGAGTTCAGGATGATGATATTGATCACATTAGAAAATTGGTCATAGAGGATGATTTTTCCAATATTTCTCTTTTCTTCTTTGTTATTTGGATTCTTTTTTTCGAAAATATTTTTCTACCATCCAGATAGGAGCGCGTCCCCTGGCAGAAATTACTAGTACTGGCCACGGTAATAATTTTTTTTTTAATCTCAGAAAATTGGTCTAAGAAGATGATTTTTTCCTATATTTTCCTTTTCTTTTAATAGATGTTTAAAAAAAAAAAATTCCACCATCCAAGGGTGCATGCCCACTGGCAGAATTCCCTAGTGCTGGTTACGATAGATTTTTTTTTTATATATATTACATTAGGAAATTCCTGTATGAGAATGAATTTTTCCCTATATTTCTCTTTTCTTTAAATAGGTGTTTTTGTCACTTTTTCAGAATTTTTTTGGTCATTTTTGGCCCATCCATGAGAGGGGCAGAATTCACTAGTGCTGATCACAATAATAATTTTTTTATATATTACGTTAGGATATTCATCGTCTATGAGGATGAATTTTCCATATATTTTCCTTTTTTTAAAAAAGCTGCTTTTTGAATCTTTTTTCCAGCTTTCAGGGATGGCGCACTCTCCCCGGCTGGATCCGCTAGTGGTACCTTTTCAGTTAATCTACAACAAACTTCCTCACATATAAAGTTGAATTATTCTGATAAAAGCAATATTTTGTGTTATTTTCTTTTAAATTGAAGAGTATATGTCTGGGAAAGAAAAAAAAAATTTTTCAAACAGAAACTAAGTCAGTTTTATCATTGGGACCTCAGCAACCAACAATAGAATCAATAGTGCATTTATCTTAAATTAATCATTTCTTTATCACACACTACTTTTTATACATTATTCACAATAATTGTAACAAAAATTTTTTATTGGAATATTCAGTTTTAATATTTTGTTTATTTGAAATTGTAATAAGTTTAGAAGAACCAAATATGATAAATATATACTCAAAACCTGTCTCATATTTCATCTTGTAGCAATCCATTCATATAATTGATGATGCCTCTATACTGGCCTCGTAGCAGCTAAAAATTCTTGTTGTAGTAATATGACTGGAGTATCTTTATTACTTGAGTTTATAAAAATCTTTTTCAATAAACCTATAATAACCATTTAGTTTGTAAATAGAGAGCCTGAATCAAATATTTTAGTAATTCATTTCTATATCTGCAAATTTTCATAATTTAAACATTAACACATACTTGTTAAAATTTTTCAGATGACCTCCATAAACCTAACAGTCTGTCTCCTAATAATTGGAAGTTCACTCATCTCAGTTCTTTGTGACGTAAGTAGGGATTGGGGTTAATTTTAACAATTTAATTTAAGAATCTTACTTTGAATGTTTTAAGTAAACAATAGAAAACTAATTACCAAATAAAAAGGTAGAATAGAAAAAAAAAACACCTTTCATTTTTATTTTAGGTTCCAGCTCCAATAATAAAATCTCTGAAGGTTAATTGTGACATAAAATATAAATATGCCACAACATTGGTCTCAAGTCGTATATTAAATCCAGCAAATGTTTCTCAAGAGGTTCATTTTACAGTAACACTGCCTCAAGAAGCATTTATAACTCGTTTTGTAATGTGAGTAGTAAAATATATTTATGTATTACATATTTTTTAAAAATCTGTTTGTTTCCATTTTATCTTCCAGTCAAATAGGTAATATGTATCCATTTATGGAGTTTGGCCATTTCATAGGAATATTCAATATGATTAATTGATTCATTATAATGTACAGGTGCTGGAGGGGAAGATTTGTTTTCAAAATCTTCCAATATTATCCTAATTTGTTAGATGTTTGTTCAAATTTTAAATTCATTTTTTTATTATATACAAGATGTAGTGGATTTGTGCCAGCTACTGAACAGATTTAGCTTATACAAAAATAAATTATATTAAATAAATATAAGTTGTTTTTTAAACAACCTAGTTTAAATGGTCTTAACTATTTTAACACCATTAACAGATGTATTATTAAAAATCAAAGGTGCAAAATATATTTATTTGAAAAACACTTCAGCAATGACCAAAAAAATTAGAATATTGGGTTTATGAAAAAAAAAAAATGTAGATTTATAATTGATATAATAATATATTTGTTCATCTAGGGTGATCAAAGGAGAGCCATATGAAGCTTACATTAAGGAAAAGGAGGAAGCTAAAAAAGATTATGATGCAGCAGTCGGAGCTGGTCAAAGTGCTGGACATATTTTTCAAACTAGGTTGGTATAAGTTTTTAGATAGTCCTTATATTTAATTAAAACTTACTCTCTAACATTGCTCACATGTCACAATTAAAAAATAATGGTGTTGAAATGCTTAATACCATTAAAAACTCACCTTCACACTAATTGTAGCTTGCTAATACAATGACATTTTATGAATTCACCTAACCATCATTAACAAACACAATTTATCTAGAAGCACTAGTAAAAGGAAACTTTGAAGTACTTAAATATTTCCCAGTATTAAATCCTTCTCTAATTTATTTATCTAATGTATGAATGTTTTTCTATTTATTTCTATTAATTATAATTTATTTAATTTTGCTACGAATTTCTGTATTTCATTTAATTTTAACTCTAAGTTACATTTCCTTGGTTTATTATAGTTTTTGCCTTTGTTATATAAATGTACACATTTTTTTTTTTTTTTTTTTATGGTGTTGTATATATGGAATGAATGTGCCTCACTCAGCCTTAGTACTCAGTGCCCTTAAGTGTGGCAAAATGTATTATTTCTCAATAAACAGATAAAAAAAAAATTTTTAAAAATAAAAATTTATTTATCTACGAAACAAATAGTTTTATCATTCCTTATGAAATGAAAATTTCTTATTCCATTCATTCATGAATTTGATCAATTCACGATTAATTCACTTCTATGAAAAATTTCCTAGCATTATTAGCATTGTGCTAATGCTTATCCCATATCTTATTAATATATTGTTAATAAGATATGGGAATATACACATATATTCCCATGATATTAATATATCATTCCATTTAGAAGTATATTAACATGGATACAGGGAGATTACTCTCAATGCAAAAGGATATTTTTTATATAATAATAACTAACATTTTGTTAACGGATTCAATAAAAAAAAGTTTACATTTTTCCATACAACTCTTAATACCAAAAAAAGTTACTATGATATTAATTTTTTCTACACTTGTTAAATCCTGGAATACTCTATGATCTGCCATTTTTCCCTGTGCCATTTTCCAATTATAGACACATAAATTATTTTTTACGTTAGCTGCCACAGCTACATTGAGCATATGTCTGCTTATCTTTATATTAACCTTGGAATATCTTGGTTGGTTGTTATATGGTAACGGCCTAAAATATTTTGGTTATCAACACCGTTAATTAAGATCATACATAATCATATCTTCTGGTTGTCAATAATAGAAATAAAATAAAATTAAAAAGACGTAAAATTGTACGTTTAGTTTAAAGTTATCTAAGGTTATTAAAGTTTAGTTATTTAAAGGTTACTTAAAGTTATTAAAGTTAGGTTTAAAGCTAGGACGTTAATTCTAAAAAAAGGAGGGAAGGGGAGTACTGCATGAGAGATTCAGAGATTTTTAAAGATTCCTTCTTTAAGCAGGAGTAACTCACATCACTAGCGGATCCAGGATTAAATTTTGGGGGGGGCTTCAGCCCGAAACCTTTTTTTTCATAAAAATAACGATAATTACTTTGGAAAAACAGAAAGAAACTAACTACCTATATGAAATGGTGTTTAAGTTATTCCTTAAGTACTTTTAAATGTAATTACACAAACAATAATACTTTAAGAGGTATTTTTTAAATTTTTTTCCCCATAAAACATGGTTATATTTTTCCATTTTGGGGGGCTTCAGCCCGAAAGCCCCCCCGTAGATCCGCCCGTGACTCACATCCACCATGTAATGGAGTTAACTGTTATACCAATGTCTCCTTAATGGAGCAGGGATCAGGAGCTGGTATCTGGAGAAAGGATAAGCCTAACGAGAGAATATTCATATCTCTAGGTAGATATACGTCCGTCTTTCAAGCCGAGATTTTACCCATCGATTTCTGTTCCCAATCACTTATTACTTAAGGAGGGCATTGTGAATAGATTGATAACAATATATATATGGATAGTCAAGCGGCAATTGAAGCCCTGAATAGTTATGCAAGTCGCTCAAAGTTGATAGATGAATGCAAAAGCAATCTTAATCTCCTTTGTAGTACTAACAAGGTGAGAGTAGAATGTATACCTGGGCACTCAGGCATTCCAGGAAATGAGAAAGACGATTACCTTGATAGGAAAGGCTCTGCACAGGTGCCAGTTGCAGCAGAGCCTATTTGCGGGATAAGCCTTGGCTTTGCCAAAAGGCATATTAAGGCAATCATAGGCAATAAATTTATGCTACACTGGGAACAGGCTAGGAAACAAACCCATTTTAAGTTATTCCTAATACGGCCCTGCCGTAAGAGAAATAATTCACTTCTTCTAATGGACAGGAATATCATTAGGTGGGTGACAGGACTGTATACCACTGGTCACTGTCAATTAAATAAGCACCTTTACAATTTGGGTATAAGTGAGACCTCCACTTGCAGGCTATGTGGTCTATAGGATGAAACAGCCTATCACATTATTTGTAGATGTGATAATTTGGCTAGACTGCGATACTTTCACTTTGGATGTGGTCCTATCACTGACCCCAAGCATGTGAACTGATTGGTCCTATCAATATCAATAGGTTTGCGAAGGCATCTGGCCTGTTTTAACTGAGTTTAGGACAACGCAAAATAGACCTTTTTCAGGCCGTGGTGAATCTCCCCGATGTCGGAGCAAAAAAAAAAAATCCTTCTCCAGAGCAGGAATATCTTTATCAAGCCATCTTATTCTTCTTAGAGTAGTGACTCTGACAAATTCAGCTTGATTTCAGAGAATGGTGCTTCTCTGTAACTCTTCATCGTTTACAGAACAAAATTTTTCTGCAGAACCTTTTTCTCGAGGGATTTATTAAGTATCCAAGGTGATGCAGATTCAACAAATACTTCACCGAGCGTAGGTAACATTTTTGTTCAATATGAGGCACCTTGAAGTCTCCAGCATATTCAAGCAGTTGGACCAATTCTGAAAATGCAGTACCAGTTGTCTTTATGTCGGCTCCTCTAATCATTTTCTTTAAGGCTATATTAAAAAGAAACAGTACCACCATGCTTCATCCAAGACAGTATTCAATTTGAATCTTGACTAGAACAGACATCTGCCATCACATCAATTTTCTTTGTCCAAATATATTTTATGCAATATATGATACATCATATATATATATATATATAGGAAGTAGGGTAGCTCAGTGAGTAAGACACTGACCTTCTATGCCAAAGGTCCTAGGTTCGAAACAGGCTGATGACAGCAGGTAATTATTTATTCTGTTACATTAGCAGTGGATCAGAAGACCCTCCTGAGGTGCACCAAGCCTCTATAAATTGGGTACTCTTTTAGTAATTAATTAAGGGAGAAAACATAGCGGTTGAGTGTGATCTTGACCCAATAACCTCTCTGCACAGTTGCGGGCATTGAAACAGTACTTCTTTACAAAGTAAAGGCCCTTCATGGGTTGTAATGGTACAAGTTTTTCTATTATTTTTTTTAAGTACTATTTATGCGTTTAATATTTTTAACTAATTTGAAATTTTAAAAGGTTTATCAAGCAATTAATCAGTTCTAAAGAAAGTTCGTGTTTACATTTAATAAAGTTTGAAAATGTTTCAATTGCCAAACTGTTGATGATTTTTTTCTAAGTCTTTCTAATAATCTTTGTAAATATTAAAATTACAGTTCCCGCTTTTCTAAAGACTTCACTGTATCAGTGAACGTAGCAGCAGAGGAAAAAGCAGAATTTAATGTCACTTATGAGGAGCTTTTAACGAGAAAGAATGGAACATATAAAGCTGAAATTAATATTGAACCTCATCAGGTAATAATTAAATTTATTTTACTATATTGTAGTTTAAAATAATTTTGATAGTAATAATTTTAGAGTAATTTTGGATGTTTGTTCCAGATTGTCCCAAATCTCTCAATAGTTGTTAATATTGAGGATGTTTTACCAATAACACATGTTAGAGTACCTCAATTCAAGGTGTCAAATGAGATTGATCAAAGCGATGGAGGTATGGCAACCAACTGTGCTAATAATTCTAAGATTAATAAAATCATTTTTTGTGATGCTATTTATGCTATTATTATGTATATTTTTTCTTCTTCATTTATTCAACCATAGGTTACTTTTTAGTTAAATGTAGAATTAATATAATACTATTAATTCATAATATTTAATTTTCATGATGTGAAATTTTAATTAAAATAAAAATATATGGTTCACATTTGAGTGTTTGCAAAAACGAGAATATCATTTTTTTCTTATGTTCAATAAAAGTAATTTTTGATGGCAACTCGAAAATAAGAATGTATTTATGGCAACCGACTTTTTATAAAAAATATTTTCATAAAATTATAGAGAACCCAAATGCTAAAAAAGAAGTAATATCTCCTAATAAAGTAAGAGTGGAATGGAATCCTTCAAAAAAAGAACAAAAAGAACTGAAACCAGAAGGCTTGAATGGACAAATGATTGTAGAGTATGATGTTGATGTATCCAACAAAACCCAACAAATTTTGGTAATTAATATAATTACAGAGTATTTTATGAAAAAGAGTTTTAATTCATTATTTTATTGAAACATTTTATGGATTGATAATGAGAATTTAATTATTTCAGATTGATGAAGATGGATATTTTATTCATATTCTTAGGAATGATCTTCTGCCAGTATTGAAGAAACATGTTGTATTTGTTCTTGATGTTAGTGGGTCAATGACTGGTACTAAAATGGACCAATTAAAACAAGCTATGGAAAAGATTTTATCTGATCTATCTGAAAAAGATTATTTCACTATTGTTTTATTTTCTGATTCAATTATTGTAAGTATTGAAAAAAATTGGTTTAGAATGTAATTTTTATCAGTTTCATTTATTTTTATCTTTATCAGTTCAAAATCAAAGTAAATGGGCGATAACAAATATCAGCAGTTTTATTCTCATGTCTAATAAAAAAAATAAACCCATTTCAGTTCTAATAAATATATTTACATCTTTTCAATTTTTCAATTTAGGCTCTTATTCTCAAAATAGTTGAGTGTGAAAAGATAATTACTATTTCTTCTTCTTCTGTGACATTACAACTCGTGTACTTGAAAATAACTTTATTATTTCCAAGTTATTAATTGTATAAATGAGATATGAATTTTATTAATGTAAATAATTTGTTAAGTACAAATAAGTGTAAAAATAAAGATGGCTTGGTGTGACAATACTTGGGCTTGGGGCTGATCGCAAGTTCGCAGATCCCATAACATAGAGTCACGGCCTCTTGCAGCTTCAACCATCATTCGTCTCTAAGGAGTGCACCCACTTTCCAATCATGGACACCAAGGATAGCTTGGATGACTGCTGGCACTCCAACTGCCCATCTGAGTTTATTGTCTTCCTAAATTTTGTGTGAATTCATTCTTTTAATAATTTTCTCAATACATGTTCCTCAGGCATTCAGCCAGTGTGACAAGCCAATCTTAATGTGCCAATATTTATTATTCTCACAACAGTGGCATCTCAACATAGCCCCTGCAGCTCATAGTTCATTTGTATTCGCCATTAGTGGTTATTTATTATTGGGCCAAATATTCTTCTTTTACGCGATGCTCAAATCAAAGAAGGGCTGCTTCTTGGGTTTTAATGTTGATATGAAAAGCTATCATATAAATGAAGATATAAATATATTTACTATATTTATAAATTATATTAAACTTGTTACTTTCGTATTAAACTATGTTTAATTCATTTAATAGGCTTGGAAAGAAGATGGTGTTGATATAAATTCATTAAACTATTACTATGGGTACGATGGTGAGGAACGTAAGAGTATTTCCGTGGGAGAAGAAAATGTGATTACAGCTACTAAAGACAATATAAAAAATGCTATTAATTTCACGAAAAGTCTTGAAACTTATGGAGGTAAATAATTCATATAAATGTAAGGAGTATACTTAGCTTTTTTTATATTTACCTAAATTAAAAACAATTTCAGTTTAATTGATAATTAATGATTCTTGATTAAAATTGGATTTTCCCACAAAAGGTCAATCTGGGGCCATAAGGTAATTTAAACATTACAAACTCATTAAACATGGCTGTTTACAAATAAAAAAAAAAGTTTAAAGATAACCCTATCTTAATACAGTAAAAGTTAGAGGTAGGATGCACGTTGGATTTATATTGGAACAGTGTGAAAAGAATAGCAGCACGTATGACACACAATTATGAAATCAAATAGCTTATTGACCAAGGCTCTCATTTCAAATAGAACTCAAGGCCCTCATTTCAAATAGAACTCAAGGCCCTAAATTACTTCTTTCAACTAATTACACCTGCTAATGGCTATGCTATCTTCATTATTTTAAATTTGAACGTCGGAGAGATCTAAAGCTTCTTTGGGACTGTTACACTGCTATTGATATTCATATTGGTGAGGTGAACTATACTGATATGAGTCATTTTTTAGTCCACATCAGATAGCTATTTGGTGATTGCTACCATCTACAATCGACCAGATTAAGATTGTCAAGATTAATTTCTTGGGACTTCGAAGAAATAAATATTAACAGTCTTAGATGGGAATCAAACCCACACAATTCCAAAGCAGGTGCTCTGAGAACTTCCTTATACCAGTTCAAGAGGCCAGAGTAAGTGTTGCCCACTTTAATTCTTATTACGTGGTGGACCCACAGAAAAAATCTTGATCTTCCCATTGTAAAGGCCTTATGACCCACACTTCCAGATCTTGTTGAAGAGAAGAAATGGTAACAAAATTCAATTTAAATATTTAAAAATGCACAAAGTAACTGTTTTTCCTAATTCATCTATCATCTCTTTAAAATATCATAATCAAGACTGTTTTTAATCAAATAAAATTGAATTTTAAAATTATATTATTAATGGTTTATAACAGGTACAAATATTAATGGAGGATTGCGAGTTGGTATTGACATAGCTAAAATGGGTCAAAAGAAATTCAAGAATGATGTTCACCCAGTCGAACCAATGATTATATTTTTGACTGATGGAGAACCTAATACTGAAGAGTCTGACCCTGACAAAATCATTGACAATGTTGGCAAACGCAATACAGAAAAGTAAGGAAACAATCAATTATAATATTAGGTCTAATTATTTGGCAATAGTTTAAAAAATACATTTATATTAGTATATATAGATTAAACATATTTTAGATTATTTGAAACATAATATATTGCATCTAATACATCTAAAAACTTTAGACAAATGCATACTAATGGTGTTTGTGTATATTCAGAGGCAGATTGTGTCCCCATAAGGCCCTCGACAGAAAAATAAATATCTAATAAATAAGGGCCTAAAATAACTTAACTTGAAGATTTTGAAAATTACAACATAGGTTCAAAAATCTACATAAAAAGATCAAATAATTCTAAAACCAAAATGTGATATTTATTTATCTGAATACATATTTTATCGAAGTTGCATTATTTATCTGTTAGTATGGTTATGGCATTGGTTGTACAGCTTTAAATGTAGAAAATTAGAACTTTATCTTGAGATTAATTACTCTCATCTTACAATTATCTTTCATGCTATTATTGAAAATTTTGAATTGAATCGATGGATGTAAACCTATTTATTTTATTTTTTTATCCTATAGGGTTACTATATTTTCACTTTGCTTTGGTTTTGACGCTGACCTCAACTTTTTGAAAAAGCTCTCATTAGCGAACAATGGATTCTCAAGGAGAATATATGAAGGTTCAGATGCAGCTTTGCAGCTCAACAACTTTTATAAAGAAGTTGCTTCCCCGGTTCTATCAGATGTCAAATTTGAATATCTTCCTGAAAAGGTAATAATTTAAAGCTACTAACTACAAGAATTTAATTTGGCATGTTTATTTTTGGAAAGTGAAAATATTTCATACTATTCATTTGTAATTTTAATACATAAATCAAATCATTTTATTTATAGTTTTATTTACAAAGGTAGTTGAAAATCTGTTGTGATATTTGAGTATTTTTTAACTTAATTTTATTTTTTATTAAATAAAAAAATCCACTTTACATAATGTAAATATAAATGCAGTGGTTAATGATAACTATTTTTCCCTAATAAATAAACTAAAATTTTGTAGCAAAACTAACCAAAATAATAGTTTTCAGAATTATTCAAGTAAATATTTTGTTTAAATTACAAAATATATCTATTTTTCAGGTTGAAAATACTACTGCTGAAACAAAAAATCTATTTTCTGGTTCAGAAATTCTTGTTCTGGGAAAGGTGAAACCAAATAGTACAGTTTCTGGAGTCCTCTCGGCTATGACAGCAGAAGGCAGGAGAATGTTACAAATGCCAATAGACTATTTGTTTTTGCCTCCAATAGAGCACAAGCCAAATCAGACTAAAATAGGTAAAATGTTTTTGACAAATGTATAATTATATATACTCTTCCCTCTTGGCAACATAATACATTTTAAAGAGGTCTATATTTATAATCTAAATTTGAACAATAAATAAACTACAAAGATTCAGTATGTTACAAACCTTTATTTTGAATGTTTTTCATACTACAACATATTGGCAAGAGAGCAAGTAGTATTTCTTTATATTATATGGAATGGATTGATTATTATCACAAAAATTAATCTTTGAATTTCTATATATATTTTTTTATTTTTTTTTTCATTAAAGGAATTCTAGTGCGTACAGTGCTGATACTGATCCTACAAAACACAGTCCTCTAAGGAAAAAATCTATAATCAAGCAGCACTTGTTTGGCTGCATTATAGAAATTTATAAAATTATAATAAAAATTTATAAATAAAAGAAATATATATATTGATAGATTGATTATTAATTTTTAATTTTCATCATTTTTAGGTTATTTAGAAAAAATGTGGGCCTACAAAACAATTAAGTCTCTTCTTGACCAAAACACTGTATCTGAAAATGATACTTTAAAAGAAAAGGCAAAAGAACTAGCCCTGAAGGTATGTACAACAATTAACTTTAATCCACTTGGTAAATTTGAGTATTATTTATAATAAAAGTTTTTAGTACTAAAAACTGATCAACCACGCCAGGCCCTGGGTATGATCGCCCTTTTCTTTTGTCGTAATTGATTGTAATGTTCTTTAACAGTATCTTTAACTGTTTGAAAGTTCTTACGAATTAAGAACATTTGAGGAGTAGAATGTCGCATCCACCGATTTACATAATATTTTGTATTGAAAGGACTTTATTCTTTGGATGTTAGATGTTTTGACAGAACACCACAGTTCTATAACTTATGTCCATATTGCTTTTAGTAAAACTTTTGTAGGGTTAGTTTTTTAATTAAAGATAATGGTGAATGTTTGTCAATTTGATAAAAATAAATAAATTAAAGAATATTAAAATCAATACTTCCTTACATATCAGCTGATATTATAAAAACAATGACATAAATCGGAAACAAAAATAATAAATAAATAACAAAAGTGATATAACTAATGAACAGAATGACATAACTACTTTTTTTGATACAGAATTGAATAACTTTGTCTCCAACAAAAATATAGGATTTGAAGAAAAAGTCCTCCAGTTGACAACAAAAGTGATCTGTGATCACAGCTAAAATATACATCAAGAAAAGGAAAATAAAGAATCATTTTAACATATTTATCAATCTGTACTTCACTACATAAAATTTAAGATGGTTTGGTCATTTAACAAGTAACTGTTTATACTGATGTCTATGTAGAGTTACTGAGCCAACAGTAATTGGGGTAGTGACAATTAATATCATAAAGTTATAAGCATCAAATTAGAAAATTATGGCCCAAAATAAGAAGAGGAGGGGCCGGCTAAATAAGATGGCAAAAGATCATATAAAAATTATATATTACACAAATATATATCTGCAATACATGCAACATATCCCTGGGTTTAGTGCAAAGTCATTAAGTGTATTTTTGATACAGGTTAATTTTCAATGTTTTTTTGTAATTGATATGTCTATTAATTTCCACCCTACTTATCGATACAAAAGCACCCTTAGTAAATTATACAAATCTCCTTTAATTATCATATATTGTTACACTAAGTGTAACTATATATGACACAATTACAATCTTCTGTTTTCACAAAGGAAAAATTCATCAAATTTCTTAATTACTTGCTGTTATAAAATGTCACTTAATGATTTTTTACAATAAACCAATGGTATTCTTCTATTATTAGTCCTCATTTAACCCATGACCTATATGAATATGAGTTTCATTTTCTGTTTTTCATCATTGTTCCCACACACTCACCCATCTATGTATTTCAAAATATTCAGAACAGTGAATAGTTAGTGATGTTCACTATTTATTTACTTTAATATATCCTTATCTAAATTATTAATATATCGTTATCTAAATCCTTATTTAAAATATATCATTTCAATTGGTAATATTTTATTACAGTACAAGTTTGTTACTCCACTGACTTCACTGGTTGTGGTCAAACCAAATGTAACCTCCGTGGTGGATGATAATCAACAAGGTAAGCTTTTTCCTTATTCATTCTTCAGAGATAATCAATTATCAATTATCATTATTGAATGATCATTAAAATCGGAAGATGATATATTTTTTGTATGTGAAGAAGTAAGAACCACAGTAGTAAACTAATCCAAAGATTCTTGAAAATTTAGTTAGAAATGTTAAAGCATGTCAGGTCATGATACTAATACATTTTTAAATTTTGTCCCTAATTGAACGTGAAAGGTAGAAATGTAAGATTCGCCTTCAAAATTAATCTAAAGCAGTTAGACCAAAATTTCTAAAATATTATAAGTTTTTTTTTCCAAGCCTAAGCTTCAAAACTCAAAATTAATTATAGTTTAATTTTACTAAGAGAAAAATACTGACATGGCCATTATTTTTTACCGTTTTTTTGTTTTTTTTTCCAGATAACAAGTACCCAAGCTTTGGTGGGGGATATGGTAAGATTTTATGTAAATTTATATAAATTGATATAGATTATTGTATTGATATAAACAGCATGTATGATGGGTAAATATGGCCTTGATATCGCGAATACGAAGTTGTGACAGGTGAGCATGTGAAAGCATCGCTCGCTTTAACATTCTCGATTCTGGCCTGGCCGGGTTGAAATTTATTTTGTGATGGACCTTTGTAATGAATCTCAACCTTCATAATCTGGTTAGAATAGGACCGATTGTACCTCTAGAACAATTGAGTATTGAGATGATTTTGGTCAATGAGGTTTTGACATAGCACATAGAGAACTCTTTATTAAAAAAAAAAACTTTAGTGAAAAAGTTGGACTGGTTTTGTAACTTGTAATCTGTGTTATGTGACTTATTTGTAACCTCATTATTTTCTTCCTGCCTATCTCTGATGACCTTTCTCTGATTTGTTATTCAAATCTCCCATGCATCTTGGAAAACATAATTTTTAAATATTATAATGCTCATTATTTTTTAACATCCAACTTAATCATTCTTTTGTTATTTTTCTGAATATTAAAATAAATAAATGCAGAAATATTTTTGTTTCAGTTTTATTCTGCTTGTTTTACCATAATCATTGATATTTTGAAATTTAATTGGGGGTTTTAGATTTTTCTTGATTTTTAATCCTGTCCTGCTGAAGTAATTTTTCAAGCACTGCTCATTAAAATATTTTATTTAAGGGTACTTGTTTTAATTATTTTTTAAGAAAATTATAAGATATTTTAAACTGAACCAAGGTTCTAAATTATTGTCGGATTGGTAAAAGTTGTTTTCAAATGAGGTAAATCGTAAATACCTTCATAAATTTGACGTAAAAGGACTACTTTTTTCAAAAATACTTTTAAAACAGAATTTTTAAAATTTTAACTAATTAACTAAAATAAACAGTTTTGATTTTCTATGAAAGAAATATAGCTAAGTTGACCTATATTCAGCATTTTGAAAAAAAGAATTATAAAATAAAAGCTGTTCTCTCACTTTTAAATCATATATCCACTTTGAAATAATTGTGTTCTCTCCTGATTTCAACTGGCCATGGCGTTCAAAATTTCTATAGATCTAAGAAAAAGTAAAATTTAATAAAATGTTGAAGGTACATGTTCCAACAAGAAGGTCCTTTAGTTTAAATTCATATGAATCAGTAATGATTAAATAAGATAACAATAACATGCTTCACTAAGCAATGGAAATTTGGGAAAGACCTTGTTTAAGAGAAGGCAGTCATGGTATCCACAAGTACTCAGTTTAGTTTGGTCTTTCTTGTTGTGAACATGGATCATAAACAAAAATTATTATGTATAAAAAAAAGGTTTTAGTTAATAAAAGAGGTATAATCGTATATTGCCTTTGATACTTCTCTAACCCAAAAACTAACTGTAATTGATTTTTGTTTGACACAGAGTAGAAAATTGAATAGAATATTTTTCAAGGAACCTTGGTTCAAAATATATAACAATATGTTATTTTATTGTTACTTATTTCTATAAAGGTAATCAGGTTTCTGTTTAAATTGATTTTTTTTTTTAATATATCATATGGATGGCCACACTGCAAATGCTTATAAAGACAATTTCTTTGGAAAATGAGGTTTTGAGCTTTTCTGGTCAATCTAGACCTGGGGCATATTCCAAAAAAGAAATCTACAATGTTTCATTTCTTCTCTATGGCCTTTTGTAAAAACCTGTAACCAGCAAACTTAAAAATCAGCGAATTGTGATCTAAAAGATGGCAAGTTAAAGTGAAGGTTATAGAGATTGTGTTGTTACCGAAATTTTTTAATGAAATGCTCATTGAAAGGTGATCATGTAAATACAGAATATATAAAGCGTTTTTCACATAGACTACAGTACCAATTAGCTTTATTAATCGGCTAAAATTAATTTTTTTCATACGTTAAGATACGATAATTCTTTTCTTAAATTTCTAATAAGTTGCGGGCACTTCCAGCCCGGCGCCTCAGGGCAAATGCACGGGTTCCCCTGCCCTCAGGCCGGTACTGCTTACCATGGAACTATATGAAGCAAAAAAGAGAATGGTTAGTGGGAATATAATATTGAATGGCAGTCAAAAAATTCTTGGAACAACTCTTCATATAATCCTGTTCTTTCCTTACTCCAGAAATCGAATTTTCCTAACTCATTTTTTAAAAGCAGAGTTGTCTTTCCTAGAATTAAAGGCATTTCTGGATTAAAAGAATTACCATACTTTTCTTTGCTGGATTTTACCTCTTTGAACTCCATTTGAAACTTGAGAAGTTCTTTCGTGGTATCTACAACATTAACTAAATACAACATTAACTGGATGGGTTTCTACCGGGACTACTGCTGTCACTAATTTTTCTTAAACGATTTCTTTCTCTTTTCTTAAGAGATTTCCCGATCCATTATCAATCGGAGAATTGATTTTGTACAGTTCTTCAGTATCAGTTCACTTCTCATCACTTTCTGAGTGACCAAAGGAAGTTTTCTCAGCTAGTGTAGTTTCTTGAACTTCAGTTATATTTGCAATAATTTGGGTTCCTAGATTATCATAATGTTGTTACAAAAATCCAGTGTATTATTAGATTCTAATTTATGGTATTTTAATTTTTTGCTTAAATTATCAAATTTTTTATTCAAATTACGAATCATAGCCATTAATTGTTGAAACATAGTATTAGTATCAATACGATTCCAAACTGTTGCTACTACTTATATTTATTTTTTCACCCTCCACATTATTTACACACATGAATGTTAACTACACTAAACACTATTTGATTTTAAAATAAAGTCTAGGATGAATTGGCAAGCTAACCTTTTGTCTACATACACTCTTTCTTCCTTTGTGGCACTGAATTCATTTGTCTTCAAACACTTTCCTAAGTTCTGCCAACACACCTTCCAAAATGGTGACACTTTCATCTACATTCATTATTTTCCCGTTGGCACTACAGACCATGAAGATCTTTGGCCGTGAGATGTAGTCTCCTTACAGACCTATGTTGCTTGCGGGAGCACAGATAGCCTGGTGGGGGTCACTCACCCTCACGTTGCTACGAACCATGGTCTCCATGGTGCAGCGACAGGCCACCCGTAGCTCCATAACCGATCCCTTTGGGGCCAATCTGGCAGTGTCCTTCCCACAGACTCACTCGGGTTCAAGGGCTGTGACAAATCTGTCTAGATCCATGGATTATGGCTGCTCAGAGTCAGCAGGCACACGAGGATCTATACTTCTTTTCTCGAAACAGACCATCCATGGACCGAACCTCAGGGGGGCTACTATCTTGGTAAACCTTAAATTCCTGATTTAAGTACACGGGGAAGAGTCATCAGTCCTACACAAAGTCGGTGTGAGTTGCCTCCAGTAGAATGAAGGGCCTCACATACCGGGGGGAGCGGAGAGAGACTTGAGTAACATGGCTTTCCCTGGTGTACGGTCACCCAAATCGGGTGGTCACCCATCCAAGTACTAACCACACTTGACATTGCTTAACTTTTATTACCTATAGCAAGCGCCTTAGCCCATACGACTACCCCGGTCCCCTCATATATATATATATATATATATATATATATATATATATATATATATATATATATATATATATATATATATATATAAAACTTTTTTTTCATTCTTATTCCTGTGAGAAAAAAAACAAAACATTTCTTTATTTATAAATGTTCCACTAACAAAGACCTAAAACATGCTTGCAGTTAATTAAACTATTTTTGTAATTTAAAAACCTGCAATAACTGATAAACATGAATTTACTTTTCATTTCCTTATATAAACATATATGTATACATATTCTTTTTTTTTTTTTTAAGCACCTGCAGGAGCATCTGGGATAGCCGGTAAGTAAATTACGAGAACTGCTGGTTATCATTTCATTGAAAATATATATAATATCTTAAAATTATCTGTACAAGTATTATTGTCCATGTAATTACATTTTTTTTTCTTCCAAAGTAGTTATCGCCGTTCATAGAACATAAAAAAATTCTTTCGGACTGAAGCTAGGATTTAATATTAAGCTGCAAAATCGATCAAACCATTTGCTTAAAAAATCGTTACGGAGCTTTTTGCAAATTGATGAAACACATTTTACTTAATTATGAGTCAGTATTTTTCACTCCAATTGTTTCAAAATCCTCAAGAGATCTCTCCGAATAATTTGAGCCATCAAACTTAAAAATCGATCCAGCTGTTCACTCAAAAAAGCGTTTCTTTTAGTGACAGTCCAAACACATAACCCTAGTGTTGCTACGTTTTGTCTGGTAAAAATATTTCACTTCTACAAAGAACATAGAATATTTTCACAAAAATAGTTAAATTTAAAAAAAAAGTAGACATAGAATGACTATAAGGCGTTAAGTAACACTTTATGAAATTAAGTACTTTGATGAATTTTTTTCTATAAAGTCAAAATATTCTGCACTTAGTGTAACTATATTTGATATATAAAAGGGTTTGTATCATTTTGATAAATTTACTGTGTCAATAAATAAGGTAAGAATTAACATAAAATTCTACTTAAAAGTTCAGCTCCATCAAAAAGATACTTTGTGCCTTTCGGTAACTCAGCAAGAATATATTGATTTAGTGCATAAAGATAGATAAACATTCATTTCATTAAGAGAAATTGGTTAGAGAAAATTTTTATGAAACTATAGTTGATTCATTTTTGTATGACTTCTCTCCTACTGTTATAACTAAATTATATATTTCTAGTAGGTATAACAAGGCCAGCAATGAGACCTTCTGTTTTTGGTAAGTATTTGAAATTATGTTGTGAAATCATGTTAATATTAACGAGAGATTTTGCTAATGCGCCCTAGGATCTGAGAAAAAACATATTTTATACAATTTTTTTTTTTTTATATTAATGTTTTCTGACTTTGCTTTACATGGATTTCTAAAATATTGTATACCAATTGATTTGTGTTTTATGTAAAATAAGAAAAACATATTGTTAATTGCATTAAGCAAACTCTAATGTATAATAAATCATAAAAACTCAAAGAGGATTCCAGTAAAGTAGACCAAGTAAATTTTTGTCACGAAAAAATAATTCAGATTCGTTTTCAATATCCACTAAAACCATTAAATACGAGTTTATTTTTAAATTAAAAAATATAAATTTATGGACTTAATTTTAAGGACAGATTTTTTTTCATACTTTTTACTATAATATTAATAACTTCACAGGATTTTCTCCTAAGTCAACGTTACTACAACTGTTAGAAAGCTAAATTATTGCTCTTCAAAATCATATCGATAACATATCGATTTTATGCCTTTATAAGGAATAAATAAATAAAAACTTCCCAAATGTTTTTATTTTTTATCTTTAAGCCCAATTTATTTGCCAGCATTTGGTTTGTGCTATTTTGTGTATATTATGGGCTCCACACTTCTTGCTAATTTTTGTGAGGACAAGTGGAGCCATGTCAAAGTTATCACAACTTTTAGAGTTTTTGAAAACTAATCGAATTCTCTCAAATGTTTTCATTTTTTATCTTCCAGCCTGATTTATTTGCGGGAATCTGGTTTGTATTATTTTGTGTATATTACAGGTCTTTTAATTCATGCTAATTTTGTGTAATTTTTGAGGCAAGTCGAAGTTATCCCAATTTTGTGATTTTCGAGAAAAAAAATCTAAAGCTTCAGCTTGGCGGAAATTTTTGGGCAAACAATTTTTATTTTTTGATTGGTATGGAAATTCGTATTTAAGATTTTTTTGGGGTACAAAATTTCAACTTTTTTACTCACTAAAAAAATATTTGAACCCACTTTACTCCGTAGGTCAGTACAAATTGTTTTATCATTTTACTCATACTATAGCTGAATGCCAAATATATACTCTTTTCTCAATTGGACGGTTATGGAAAGTAGGATTACATGCACATAATCTTGTATTTTGTCAAAATTAGATCTGAAAATTAGAATAAAGCTTGAATTGTACATATTATACATATTAGCTTAAAACAGAATGTAATCCAAAAGTTATTGATGTGGTTTGGAAGAGCATTAATTCAGCTTTCTAATAGTTGTACTGACATTGAATTTGAAGAAAATCTTGAGAAGTCATTAATGCATTAGTTAATGGCTGGAAAAATCATCCTCGAATATTTGTTTTCGATCTTTCTTTTCCATAACAAAAATTTACTTGGCCAACTTTACAGGAAGCATCTTTGGTTTTTGGTAATTAAGATACTTTATAAATAATTTAATACCATAGTTAATATATTTTTATTATTTTGCACAAAAAACAAAATTGATTGATTGGTATATTACACCTGGCAAGGTAAATGCAAAAATTAATAACATAAATTTTGTTTAAAATTATATACATGTTTTTTCTCAGCTTCTAGAATGCATTGGCAAGAGCCCTCAGACATGGGTCTAATATTTTTCAACCTAGTATCACCAAAAAAAAGTTTCATTAAAATCGGTGACCCTACGTCGGAAACCTTTCCTTATTAGTATAACTATATTTGATACATAAAAGGTTTTGTGTCATTTTAATACATTTACTGTATTGATAAATATGGCATAAACTAAAAAAAATTCTACTTAAAAGTTTAGTGCCATAAAAAATGTATTTAGTGCCTTTTTTTGCAACAAACCAAGGATATGCTTATTTTGTTAGAGCGTATAAATAGATAAGCATTAATTTCATCAATAGTCAGTCTTATATTATTTGACCATTTAGCATTCCTGAATCTCGCAATTCGTGTTTAAAACAATATCTTATTGTTTATAATATAATAATATAATATAACAATATCTAATTGATCTCATACATCAGTACAGATGTCCTAGATAACAAACTTGGGCTTCAATTTTAAGTTTCTTAATATTAGTTTTCTTTTTTAATTTTTAAAATGTGATTTTGCTTAGAGCGTTACTGCTCAAAGAAAAGTCAGTATGGAGTAAAATGATTCTAGGTAGTCATCTTCGAGCATAGCAAACCATTCTGAAAGTAATAACAATTTTTAAAATAGTTAAATATAATTTAGAATAATATGACATACTGCTTAATGTGTAAATGAATTTCAATCTGATTATCCTTTACATTATTTTGGGAACTTTGATGGTAATGTTCATAAAATGTACAATAGATTTATTGAAAACAAAAGCAAGTTTTCTATTAGAAGTACAAAAGATTTCTTGAAAAATTAACACATAAATACTTGTTTCGTAGATATTTCAAAAGATGAAAATTGCCTCAAAAAATAAACTCTAGTTACATAGAATAAAATAGAAAATAATTCAAACAGTTTTAATAAACAAACTTCATTAGTGTGTTGGAAATTAATCTTATATTCAGAACACCCGGTAACATTCCTTACGAATTTTTACACTAAATATTGGAACAAACCAACTTTTCTACTTTCTACTGAAAGTATTTGAGATAACCAAAAAGAGTATAATTTGAAATATGATCTAACAGTGAAATTATCCATGGTCAAATATCAATCGACAGAGATAGTTTCATTTCAAAGCATGAAGAGCTTCGCGTACCCTTATTGGGGAGAGTAACACTCGTTACATTTACATTAAGTTATTTCTTCTTGAGGTTGAGATAGATTTATTTTAATGTTACCATTACATTCTGCTGAAAAAAACATGTGCAAAACAAATATAAAGACTCAATACATCATATGGTCAAATAATGAAAGAATGACCCACTACTGATTAGAGAAAATTTTTGTATGAAATTATAGTTAATTATCCATTTTTATATCACTCCTCGTTTCCAAATATAAATAAATTATACATTTCCAATAGGTGGACCACATCTGTCATCACTGTCATCAAGTTATGGTAAGTATTTTAAGTTATATTATAAAAAATCTGCTTAATAACATAACATAACATGAAGGATGCTAATCTCTACCTTCTTTCAGCACCTAATTTTGGCACTAATAATAAATAACAAAGCAGTTTAAATGAAACATGTTACCATTTTTCATATTAAATATATTAAAATATTGTCAAATATTTTAAGCTCTTAAAAAATACTCAAAAATTTTTCTAATAAATTCAAAGTTTTTTTTTTAGTAAATTAATATGAAACAACCAAATGCTAAAATTAAAATGAAATTAAACATAAAAAAAAATAAGCGACTTCTAATAACAAGAATTTATTTTTAAAATATTCTGCTTGGTTAATTTTTTCGATAATATAATATGAATCTTGGCTTTCTCCAATTTTTCTGCCAGGTGTTTGGACCTTGAGAACTAGGCATGAGAACTATTCCTAAGTATTTGTACTGTTGAACTATGTCTATACTTTTGAAGCCCATGAACCATTTTTCTTTACGTGATGCCTTACCGCCATTGCGAAAGCCCATTATTTTAGATTTTTCGAGATTTATTCTCAGATTTCATTTTTTACAGTATTCGTCTAGGAAATTTACATTACTCTGTAATGTCGCTGGATGTGAAGATAGGAGAACAATATCATCCGCAAAAGGTACTTAATTTTACAATTTTCTTCAACACAAATGCCATCGTCTAAATTCTCTTCCAAATCATTTATATATAACGAAAATAGAATCGGACTAAGCAAACAACCTTGTCTTACACCCGATTCCATACTAAATGGTTTAGTCAAACCATCCAAACCCCAAACTGAAGCATTAGTATCGCTAAGCAAACTTTTAATTGAAATAATTAATTTAGATGAAAATCATAGCTGATATAATTTATAAATTAGACTATAACGATCTACACTATCAAATGCTGTAGAAAAATCAACAAAAATGCATAAACTTTTTCCCTTTTCTTTTGTAGTTTTACTTTAACTAGACTCATTAATGTGAATATGTTAACAATTGTTGGATATTTTTTTCTAAAACCAGCCTGAGCTTCTTTAATTATATTGTTTTCATCAATCCAGTCCAGACATCTAGCCTAAATCAAGCCCATATATAACTTGGAAATAGCATTAATGAAGGAGATTCCCCTGTAAGCCAAATTTTTATCCCCTTTTTTATATAGAATGGATTTTTGATGGGAAAATAATGGATTTTTTAAATGTTAAAAGGACATAGCCCATTTCAAAAATTCTATTAAATGTAGCCAATAAAATATTTAAAAATGAATTGGGAGCATACATGTAAAATTCCTATCACTTCCTGGTGCCTTGTTATTTTTGGAATTACCCAAAACCGCTTTTAACTTACCAAGAGAGAAGGATCTATCTAAAATAGCATTAGTAATATTAGGTTCAACGTATAAAATTCTGTTTGAGTTTAACGGAGGGTTGTACAGAGTTTTAAAGTGCATAAGCCAATCTTGAAATGATATATTACCTATAGACCAGTAATTACTTTTCTAAATACTTTTACAAGTTTCTAAAAGGCTTTAGAAAAACCACTCGTCTCGGTCCAATGCGACAGCCCTCCACTGCATGACACCAAGCTGTCTCAAATCCTCCTCAACATCCTCCAGCCAACGAAGTGGTGGCCTTCCTCTCCTTCTTGCTCCTCAATGCCTTAACCATCTTATTCGTCCTGCCTTAATGACACTTATGAGATCTGCGTCCCTATAGAGTTGTCGCAACTCCCGATTGTATCGTGACTTCCAAACACCTTCTTCGCATATGGGCTCGGAAATCTTCCTAAGAATCTTACGCTCCCACACTCCAAGAGCCCTCTCATGTTTTGCTGAGATAACCCACGTCTCGCTTCCGTATGTGACTACCGGACGAATCAATGTTTTATAGATTGTCAATCTGGCATTCCTTGATAGTCTTCGAAACGTGAGTAGTCGCTGTATGGCATAAAAACATCGGCTTCCCGCAGCTATCCTGGCTCCTATCTCAGCTCGTACATCATTGTCTGCCGTCATAAGGGATCCCAGGTACTTGACTTCTCTGCACACTGGGAACTCGTGTTGGCCTATGTTGGCCAAGAGTCCGATCTTGATGAGGACGATGTCTTGAACTCTTCATGTACATCGTCTTTTGCTTGTTTATTTGCAGACCTCGAGCTGCTGCAGCGGTCTCAAATTCCTTCAATGCACCCGCCAGCACTGGGAGCGTCCTTGCCACAATCTCTATATCATCTGCGTACGCCAAGTGCTGTGTGAAGCGGTCAAAGATGGCAAAACTCCCTAGTCTCTGGCAATATGAAATATCCTTGACAGATAAGTTTGTCTCAGTTCTATTAAATAAAGTTTTTACTGTGTCATAGACATCTTCAGGCTCTTCTCTTTGAGGCTCAGGAACTTTATATATGATAGTATTATTTTTAATTATTTCTTGTCTGAGATTATTTATTTCTTCCTCGTACATCTCTACTCTCTTTTCTAATAAGGCCTGATAAACTTAAACAGCTTGAAGTTCCTTAATTATTTGGGATATTGCTTGTTTTATTTGACGAGATCATTTCCAATGGATTCAGTGTTTTTTGTGTTTATTTTTATTTTTGTCATAATGTCCTCTAGTGTTATAGAAGGGCTATTTTATTATAAATTATATTGTCGCTAATGTTTTATGTTAATGGGAGTTGCTCACCAGCTGATGAGGTAGGTGGAGGAGATGTCACACCGGCTATGATATCTGATACATTTTTGACAGGTTACAGCACGTACACCCCCACTATTACTTATCTATCTGCTGCCAGTTCTCTGGAATAAGGAATCTAGATGAAATTATTTTCACCTTATTTTTCTGCAGCCACCTCACAAATTATCACCAAATTAGTTATTTTTTTCATCTGATAAATTTTCAATATAAAATCTAAAAATGTTTTGTGACAAAATTACATGCCTTAATAGCTTTCAGAATTAATTTACTAAGCTCAATTTATTTTTTTGGATCAGCAGGTCCTATGCCCCTTGGACCAATGCCAGCACCAGATATGTTAATGCCCGAAAGTATGGCAGAAGAAAATGTTTATACCACCACAATTTCCGGAAGTATAACAGGTACTTACAAAAATTAAAGTCTATTGTTTTATCTATTGACTTAACAATCATAATTTGAATGTCTGATTTTTAGCAGATAATGCTTCCGTTATTCCATATACGAATGTGACATGGCTCAACCAGACAATTTCTGATGATGGTCTTTATCTCCAGCCTCCTCCTGAAGTAGATATAAATGATGTCATCGCATTGAATGAGGTCAGATTTACTAAAAAAACCTCTTAATATTTTAATAAACTAAATTTATTTTAATAGTAAGTTTAGGGAATCTATATAAATGTTAAATTTTACTTATTGTTATGTAAATGGTTATGGCCTGATATTCCTGAGTTAAGGAAACAATTTTCAGATTAATTTTCTAGAATCAAGTTAGCAATCTCTCCCCTCCATGGCTATTTCTTGGTGACTTGACCATCCTCTGTTGAGTACACTATCAGTTAAGTTAGATATATCATTCATTCACCCTTTTCAGTATTGCAAATTTTCATTATTTTCCTTTTTCTTTGGATTAAATTGCACACAGTTTTGTACTCACCGCACCATTGATGGCTTCATTTGCCATTGCCATTTATAATCTTCAATCTTCGATCCAGTTGTGAGTCCACTTTCATCATATATCTCCATTCCTTTCCTCATTACCCCCACCTTATTTTCATTCGTTATCCTATTTGTAAAATTTAATTCTGCATAAAACATAGAAGAATCATTTTGTGATATTATCATATTTTACATTGTACTTTATTCAATCTTAATTATAGACAATTTAATTCAATTTTGCGACATATTAAATCCAATGTGAATTAATATATTAATTTTGTGATGCAAACCTATATATGATTCCACACTTATTTTGTCATTTTCATAAGTAGCATAGATTATTGTATTTTAAAAAATAATTATTTTTTAAGCTTAAATAAGTGCCTCCTTATAATCAAATAATTTTTATTTTATTTATTTATCATATACCTATCTACTACATTGATGTTTTGAATATTTAAATTCAAAATATCCTTTTCAAATCAATGCAACTGTTTTCCAGAAAAATTAAACTATTCATGAGATAAATTAAATGTTTTATCAAACAAATTTAGTAATTTTCCTACCAAATTAACTGTTTAATTAGTGTTCTAATAGTTTTTTCTTTTTTCGGTTAAAATATTTTCCACAATCTGATAAATGCAATATTAGATCTTTTGTATACAAATTTGAAATGGTTGATTGATTAAATGCATGCTTTCAGTTATGCAGTTTTCTTATTCCAAATAAGTAAATAAGATTTTAAATTTAAAAAAAAAAATGGTTCCTTCTTAAATCTAAGAATTTAAAGGTTTCTCAAAATCCTTATTGTTCACACACACAAAATATTATGATAGCTTGTTTATAATTTCTATATTGTTAAGTATAAAATTATATAAAGTAAAATCAATAGGAGGTTCAAAACAATAATATAAGTTAATAACGAATTCCTATTACTGAAATGATATGAATTTTTTTTAACTATACGTGGAATTAACAGTTAGTGATCTATAGTTTTAATTTTATAAATATTTATAGACTGACGTTTCAACATCAAGATGCAGTAATGGAAACCCTTGCCGTCATTTTATATTCTGCTCATTACACTCTTTCGCTGATGACTTTCAAGATTATCTTCCATACAAATGCCATATTGAACCAAGGTGATGATTTTTAAAAACAAATTAGTAAATGTACTAATATATTTATTAAATAATATGAAATCAATCCATATAATCTTGTTTTTTCAGGTTTCTTGGAGTATGCTGCCCAATTTGATTTTGAAGTTTTATTACTATTAAATTATAACATTGTACACATTCATAATACAGAATTTCAATAAAAACTATTTTTCATCTCTTAATGATTGTTTTATTTCTGTAATTTTGTATAAGTTATTTTTGAAAATAAAGATATAATTTTAGTTCATCATTCAGTTTTTTTTATATTATCATAAGACCCTTACATGCGGCCCACATATCATTAACTTTCTAGTTGGCCCATTTTAAAAAGTTTGCTTGTTCTAGATAGTAGTTTAAAATGCAATTAATTAGTGGCTGAGTACTGGCCAACATTTAGGATGGGATGGCCGAGCATGTAGGGGCGTGGGTCCCAGAGTGCCCAGTTCTGAATGTTGTGGGTTTGATTCCCTCTTGGGTCGGTAACTTTTCATTTTTCGGTGACCACGGAAAAAGGATCGCAACATTCCCACTTGCCGGCCTAGTTCCTCTCACCAGTACTGATCAATACTGGACTGAGATTCAAAGACATTGTTACTCTCTCTCTCTCTCTCTCTCTCTCTCTCTCTCTCTATATATATATATATATATATATATATATATATATATATATATATATATATATATATATATATATATATATATATAAATGAAGAAAACAAATTATCCATCCAAACATGAAGAAATTTCAACAATAATTTCCACAAAATGAATAAACTAAAAACACTATATAATAATGATCTAAATAATCCAACTATATATTATGTCAAAACTTGATAACTTTGAATGCAATGTTAAAAAACTCATTAATGTAATGTAAATTCTGTAGGTTCTTTATTTTAAACATCAATTTTAGGACTTGAAAAATTAAGTTTGTCACTGATAAATACGCATCAATTCCTATAACAGAAATCTGGTAGAAAAACACAACCTCATAACCACTTTACATGGAAACTATTTGATAAATCATTATTTTTAATTTTTTTTTTTTTATAAATAAAATGTGCGTTTAGGCAATCATTTTTATAACAATACATCCCAGATCCTCGAAAAACAAGAAATGAAAGCTTTGTAAAAGTTAATTGTAGTAATTTTTGCTGAAAACAAGGGTATTGTTAGGTGGCAGGATAATAAATCACATCATTTTTCTACACAATTCGAGGTTATTTCAAGTTTTTGTCAAATAAACCTCAACTTATTTTATTTTACTTAAAGTTTATCAGATGAGAAAGTTTTTATAAACATGGGGAATATATAGTACAGTTGAAGGGTGATCGCGAAAAAATCGCCAATAATTTACGATATTTTTAAAACAGAACTTAGCTTTATTTAGATGCTCAAAAATTCTATTTAAATGGTCTTAACAATGACAAACTCTATTTTATTAAAAGAAAATTTGTCTAGTTTACCACTGTAAACTAGACAAAATTGCTTCACTAAGCAATTGTTAATTTCTTAAATTAAATATTTCTTCAGTTATCGCTTCCTGTTTCGCAAAAAAGCGTCATGCTTTAAAAAGCACATAACTTGGATTTTCCGCATTTCTGCTTAAAATTGGCCCATTGTTTATAAGAACTTTTTTGTAGCACTGAAGGTCTACTATCACTCTTATTGAAATTTCCATCTACTTACGGGACACCCTGTATATTGACCTCTAATCGGAACAGACAGAAACCGCAACGCCGCCTTCCACTGACGACTTTCGATGATGTGCAAATAGTCTGTTATTTTCGAAGGAAAATAGACAAAAACAGATGGAGCTATGAGGTTTTTATTGCCTATCGTTGACATAATAAATAGGGTTTGTGTTAATTTAATAGTCTTGAGGAAGTTTTACTTATTAGATTTAAGGTTTTAAGTTAAGCTTCAAAAACTGCTTTCAAAATGTACTTCAAAAACTTTGTAATAGCCCAACGTTGCCAGAAAATAATTTCTATTCAAAGTTGAGCGGTAAGTGAAAGTTGTGTGATGCGCCTCAGATTTTCTTATTTTTACTTTACCTTACCTTATATAAATATAATACAAAATAAACTTTAAATATATAAATATAAATATAAACTTTATTCTGGAACGATGTCCTCCAAGAATAACAATAATGAACAGTTACAAAAGAAAAAATCTTGTGCGCAAAACATACAACTCTTACCGCTTACCACTCAACTTTGAATAGAAATTATTTTCTGGCCATGTTGGGCTATTATAAAAAATTTTTATAATATATTTTAAATTTTTTTTTATAATATATTATAATATATTTTTAAATATATTTTTTATTTTCGGTTAAATTGCATATTTAACCGAGCTAAAGTTAAAAGCTTACAGCTAACATAACAAATCTACTAATGATGAATGAGGTTCTACTAATGTAAAACTAATAATATACAATATTTACATATGTCAAGTTATTTTTTTATGAATTTTTCCTCACAATCATTAGTATTGTTTGATACTATACACAGTCCTAAAAGGAAATGAAGAGTGATGCAAACGTACAAAATAAACAGATTTGATGTGCGGGATAAACATGGTGATTAATTGTTTTAAATGAAGATATACCGTTCTTTTCACTTTGACTTCCCTGTATATGAAAATACCTATCTATCCTAAAGGTTGGTAAGTGAAAGTTGTGTGATGTGACAACGGCACCAGATTTTTTTTCTATTGATAGCGGCTTTGATATTTAAACCTGAATGACACATTAGAATCCATGAATCAACATGAACGATATCAATGATTCACTCAACCCATGAATGATGATTGTTTTTCCTGTAGTTGCTAAATATACATATTAATTTTATGAAATTGTAAAGGACAGTTGCGGTCAAAGATATCTGTCAAGAGAGAAACTGATGAACAGATATTTCTTGTAAAATAATCAACCAGTTAACTCCTCAACCGTTGATCCTACATCAAAAAGCGATGTATAAAATTAATAGTAGATTTTATCTTCATTAACTTTTCAACTGTATTAATTTCGAAAAAAAAATGTATAGTTTTAGAGTCATGTCAAAAAATGAAAAAAAGTTCCGGAATTTCGCTGTTCTTACATATATCTCGGAATGCAATCTAAAATTTCGTTCGGGAGCATCAAATTTATAATCAGCATCTCAAACAAAATAATTAACCGAAGAAAAACCTACTATTTGAAATTTTTTCTCATCCAACTGCCATTCAACTGGACTAATTTGATGATTTTGACGTCAATATTTAGTGCGCTCTAGCGGCCAAACGAAAAAAGACAGCGAGCAGATTACAGTTTTATTTTTTAGAAACTTTTATCACCTTTCTCTTTGATATAGATGATTTTTCTCTAGGATGCGTCATTTTGGAGTTATACGCGAAAACTAAAAGAATTTTCGAAATTTTATGTTTTTTGGCCATTTTTATGGTGAAGCCGAATCAGAATGTAGTAGATTACTCAATTTTCTGAATTAGCACTCCAAAAAACATCTAGAGCCGTCAATAAAAATTCTTCCGCAATTTTTTCCTCTTTAAACTACCAAATGACTGGACTACCTCTCAACAATTGTTTCACATTGAGACCAACGATAAGTAAGTTGTTACAGGGATCGGCAAACGTTAACCAACGCATTTTATACGAGAAACAAACAACTCAACTGAGAACGCACGAAGGCAAGAGAACCTTGAACAAAATAGGAAAACAGGATTGAGAGAATAAAAAAAAAAAAACACAAGTCTATGCAATATAGCTGTAGTGATTGAGCAAAAAGTACAAGTCTCATTACTGGCCTTCTGGATATTATTTTGATTATCTCCATTATAGACTTTTTTCCAGGAAATTTTACGAGTGGTTTTAGGTGAGCCTTGCTGCAATAACAGATATCTTCAAGTTCAAAGATTTATAGCTGTATGAATATATATTCTTTAAAATATGACATTGAAGAAACCTAAAATTTGAAAAACTTTGAGGGGCGTATTTTTTTATTAGACATTCCATTAGGAAGAAGCAATTAACGAATTCCAGCAATGCGAACTATTCATCACATCAAATGAATGGCGATATAAATTTCTATCAAGTAATTTTTCCAAATCCAAGAATAATTTAAATAAAAATAATTCCAAACGTCTTATGTTCAAAATATCTATGTACTGCTCTCCCAAATTCTTACTAATATAGCAAACTAATAGGGTGTATAAAAAAAAACCTGACCGTTTTATCCAATTACTGTAAATATTTTAAACCTGTAAAGGACTGTAAATATTTTAATCCAATTAAATACTTACCAATACCTAATAATCCCTTTATATCATTCTCTAAGTTTGTTTAATCGCATTCGACTTCTTCAAAAAAATCTCAGTTTAGTTATTTTTTTCAAAGAAGAAACCTGACAGTGTCCAACGAAATTCTCGTAATTTTAAGGCATTACGGGAAAAAAAATTCACAGCCGCTGAAGTAATTTGTGAAGTTATTAAATATGAAAGGGAAGGTGTCCTTGACCAGCGCATTTCGCGGCGTTGGTTTGAAAACTTTAGCAGTTCAGATACGACGTTGGAAAGGAAGAAGGGCTCCGGGCGAGCATTATTGGATATTGATGAGATTCTGCAGGAAGATGTTGAGTCAAACCATTCCACAAGTACTCGCGAATTTGCCAGGGAGTGTGGTGTGTCGAAAGATACTATTAGTCGCCATCTACTCTCCATGGGGAGGGTGAAAAAGAGCAGTAGACTGGTCCCTCACGAACTTAATCGTCAGCAATCACCAAAGAGGTTAGAAATTAGAGAAAATATATTGAAAACCCTTCTGATAGGAGATTTTACCGGAAGATTGTCACCTTTGATGAAAAGTGGGTTTACTGGCGAAATCCGAATACCCGTGAGCAATGGCTGGATCGCGGTCAAACTGCTTTTCCGGTTGCTGCAAAGCGGCAATTTGAAAAAAAAAATTAATGCTTTGGTTTTTTTTTTTAATTTTGAAGGTGTTATTCATCACGATGGATGATGTTCCTGATGGATGCTCTGTTAATTTTGAAATCTGCTGCTAACAACTGGAAAGATTTTACGCGAAGTTGTCAGAGCGAA